GGAAAGGACGGTTTCATTCGAGAGGGAAGGTGCAGTTCAAAATATGGAGCTATATATCTTGCTCTTCTTGAGAATGCGCATGATATTGTTCTAAGGAGCATTACGGGAAACGCGTTCTGCCACCTGACGGCTTCCGTATGCAGCACACCCTCAAAAGCGGGCCTCTTCCTTAAAGTCCGGAAATTATAAAGTTTTCCACAATCCATCTGGCACAGCTAATCTACACGTGGACCGTGGAGGTGAGGCCCTTCAGGAGACTGACCAGTTTAACTATGTCGACTCCATCATCTGCGGCGATGGCATTATCCAGCCAGAGATAAATAGGTGAATCGCCCTAGACTTGAATGCGAAAGGAGTTATTGTTCCTTTGAAAATCCGTTCATATCCTGCCTCTGTTAGGACAGTGTTGTTGAACAGCATGAAGACAGTTGTTCCAACGAAAGAGCAAGAACGATGGTTCAAATGTCTACAGCAGCATAGGCTTCGACGCATAGTGAGAGTTAAATAGACGAGTAAGGAATGTCTCTATTCTCTTACAACAGACCTCAGTCAATGTGGAGATTAAGAAAATCGATACCTTCGATTTCGATACCTCAATAGCGAATTGTCTGATAGCATTTAATAACCAACCAATTTTTCAGACGACAGTAGCGTTGCCTCTGCAGATCAGGGTCACAATCGGCGAAGGCAGTAAAACGCATGTGTGAGGTTACATTTAAAAACCTTGCTAAAAACATTTTTCTGTGATATGTTGCGTATATTTTGCATTGTATGATTTTGTTTCGTTTGTTTGCATTTAGTTGATCAATCGAAGGTTCATGTTTTTTCCTGGAATGTCATCATATCAGCGCTTGACTCCCATCGATTACCGAAATTCACGCTGTATTGCTCCGTTCATTTGCTAGTAGTTATGAAAATCGATTGAAGCGTGTCAGGTGCTAGGATGTGAGTCCCTGCTATGCTAAATACCTTTGTGCAAAAGTTTGCAAACGGTAGAGGATCCTGAAGCGCCGCTGTTAACAGACAAGCTTATACTCCAATTGATTAGGTAATATGAGGTACATAAAGCACGACAGATTCTCAAATACCATTATGCCGCGATCTGTTTAGACGATTTTTTCAGTCTTTGAGACAGCCAGACTCAAGGAGGCAGTGCATACCGAGTAACTGCATTCTTAAATAAACTCCCATGTGCGATTCTGCATTTATACTAAACGCCACCTACATAGCGTTAGCAATCATATTTTATGAAAATTTATTTTCGAGTAAAATATTTTTCTTAAGCCATATTAATTGCCAGACCATCTGTTTCAGGGGTGATATTCCTGATGGTCTTCCAATCATCAAGCACGAAGTCTGTGAACTGGACAACGACGTT